ATACATACATACATACATACATACATACATACATACATACATACATACATACATACATACATACATACATACATAAACGCACGTTGGGGTGTCGTGTCTTGCTGAAGAACAAATCCCAGTGACCACCCATCTGACCCTTTTTTAAGTCAGAGTTTAACCAGTGTCTGTGGTGTAGCGGTGAGATGCTTCTTTATCTCACGCAGGAGACCCTAGCTCGATTCCTAAGTGGACAGACATTTTTTATTGAGTATATCTGTCTTTCTGCTGGGAATGTTGTATTTATATCTCAGTCCGGGTTGACCCTGACAGGAAGAGTGGGAAGCCCGCCTTAAAGTCATCGTCTTGTGAGCCTCAGCTGCCCCACTGGCTGAGAGTTTAAGACTTTTTCTAGCGAGCTTTGATGGGGAAGGTGCAGAAAAGAGAGAAAGGCCGGAGGGTGATGACACTCGAACAGGTTTAGACAGATCAGGAGGACCGGGAATCAGCGACTGTCCTAATCAAATACTTTGTCTGGATAGTATTGATGATGATATCAGTTTTGGATGTGTTAATTTTTTCTTATGCAGCTTTCAGCTTAAGTTTGATTTATGAATGAATGAATGAATGTATAATCCCCTGCATACCCCATCTCCACTAAAAATACCACACTCATTAATTGACAAGTGCAGACCCCCCCCCCCTCCGCCACCTCCACTGATAATAGCAGGCCCATTAATTAACAGATTAATACTCAAACACCTCCGCCTCACTCTAACTGGCTCCATCTCGACATCCACTAAGAGGGGCTGCCCATTGGCACGATCGATTCGGTCCGGTTTGATAGACGGGGCTAGTCAGATTGTGGGTTCAAAGCGACCATCGTTACACAAACCGATCGCACGACTCGCAGCCTAAGATGCAGTCCCCGCCTCCACTGACACTACAACACTCATCCATCAACAGGTGAAGACCCAACCCGTTACTAGGCACCTCCACTGGTTGACAAATGAAGATCTACCTATTCTGCCCCCACCCTAACACGCATACACACCTAGTCGGCATCCTCTAACACCACCACACCCATTTATCAACAGGTGAAGACCCCCCGTCCTCCCCCACCCCACACACCTACCCCACATTCGCTAACATCACCACATCCATTCATCAACAGGTGAAGACCCCAACCAGTTACTAGGCACCTCCACTGGTTGACAAATGAAGATCTCCCTATTTTGCCCCCCCCCACCCACACGCACACACCTACTCTGCATCCTCCTGCATCACCCCACCCATTCATCAACAGATTGGGACCCCCCTCCCACCCCCTAACTGACTCCGTCCCCAACTCCATTAACACAACCACACCCATTCATCAACAGGTGAAGACCCTGCTGGTGCCCTACATCAACCAGGTCAAGGCCAAACACCCGACCTGGACGCAGGACCAGGCCCTGAAGGGCGGCATCAGCGCCTACAACGCCGGAGTGGGGAACGTGCAGACCTATGCAGGCATGGACCTCGGCACCACAGGAAACGACTACGCCAATGACGTGTGTGCACGTGCGCAGAGACTCATTAGTCACTACCACTGGGAGTGAGCCAAGACCCATGCAACGAACTCCTTGGAGTGAGCGCATTACGTTTCCCAGGCGTCGTGAAATGATCAGTCAAGTGTTGAAAAAATAAACAAAAAATATGATCTAATCACATGTAACACTCTTTCTGTCTTACTATATATCTATCATCCTCATGCAATAATGATAATAATAGTAATGACTACAGTTATTCTTTTGTAATGCTTCTAATCTTCGGCATTTATATGACGTATTTGTAAGTGTCGTAAAACCCTTACTATCTAAACATATAAAAAACAGTATCTCTTTTGCAAATACGTACGTGTCTAACGATTTTGAATATGGTTAAAAGCTGAGGCATAAGCATTATACGTCACACATTCTTTTAAAAAAATGTAAAAACCCATAATGTACATTTATGCACCAAAGAACAATTTCATTTGAAACTAACATTGCCAAACAAACTCAGAGAGGGTGATGGCAGTTACACAATGTATTTTGAAGACAAATGAAAGTAAGCGGATATTTTTAATGAAGTAAAAAGAAACACACACACACACACACACACGCGCGCGCGCGCGCGCGCGCACACACATTCTCACGCATTAACACAAAAAAATGAATAGAAAGAGGCGAAATACGATTTAATTTAAGTAAACTAAACTTTTGACTTTCCGAAGTTCCTTTTTTTCTAATGAGCAAAACTGAAAGCAATAGAATACAATAGAGCACTGTTGATGAATGTTTCCTTGACAAGCACAGTTCATTAAACAGGGTCGGGGGAAACCGCTGGATTGGTTGGTATCATGCTGGGCTAGGAAGTGGATAGCCCAAGTTCGAATCCCCAACGTGGTGTTGTGAACTAGGTTTCTTCTGGGGAGTTTTTAAGGCTTTTCTTTATTAGTCTAGTTTGTTGTAAGTAAGATTTTTACGGCACTTGCGAAACAATTTGTACGTCATTCAAGTTACGAAGATTGGAGGTGTCACTATACAGTAACATAAAAAGAAAAGAAGGAGGAGAGATAAGAGTGATAAATGAGGGATAAGAGAGAAAGAGGATACCCTACCAGAACACCCGCCAAACATTTTCTAAGACTTACTGCCTATTTGGGCTGATACTAACGCAGATTGAAGTTAGTTTTGGAGACCTTGTCTCTAAAATAACCTGACAGAGTTGAAGGGGGCGTTAAACCTGTACAATGACCAATGGACAAACAGAGTTCAGCTTTACACCGTGACCGTTCGGGCGTGGTCTTGCTTAGTGACTGGAGACTAACAGCACCTGACGAACAATGAAAAACTTAAATTGTGAACACGAAATCGTTCTACTTTGTTTGAGTAAAGAAGCAAACCAACGCAATAAAGCTCATTTATAGCTGCGGGACATCTAAGGGAAACAAAAGCAAAAACAAAAACCTGAGGGAATGAGGGTGGGATGGGCGGGAGTCGGGGTGGGAGGTTGCTAAGAGGTGGGCGCCATTCAAGTACCCGCTAATCGCTCTCCGAATTCGATAATGGAACAAACAATCACCCCCCACCTAACCCCCCCCAACAAAAACAACAAACAAACAAACAACAACAGCAAAAACAAACAAACAAACAAACAAAACAAAACAAAAACTAACGTCTTTTTCAATGTAGGTCTTCTACTCCCCTTCCAACACAGTCTAGATCATTTTGGGAGGCGGGCGTCCACTCTGCCTATTAGGGCCAACCCGGGCTGAGAGGGAGTTAATGTCTCAGCAGAAAGACCGAAATACGTATGACGTTGAAGCACCCAACCACTACTCCATACGAGATGGAAAGTTATATATATATATATATTTTCTCTTTATTTAGCGTCAACATTATTTTTGTTCTGCTGCTTTTTGTTTTTCTCTGCAGACTTTGAGTGACGTCAGTAGCCTATAGTGGTTTCGGCTACCGGACTCGTAATCGTGAGATTGCGGGTTCGGGGATTCGAGCCTCAGCTCGGTCCGACGGTGTGTCCTTGGGAAAGGCACTTTACACGAATTTTCCACTAGGCTCGGTCCTTTCGGAGATGGAATTTAAACTCGGACTTCTGCCTCTTAAATAACCCAGTAGTGTTGAAAGAAGCGATAAACCTATACTATTTCACCAGTGTTTTGTTCTCTTCAAGCTTTCACCTTTCCCTCAGTACTCTACCTCGTTACGAATACGTGTAGTAGCAGACTACACAGTGGGAAAAACGATCAACATAATAGAAAGTGAATACATTCTAATGCAATTAAGAGATTAAACATTCCATTCCGCCCTCCTACATGTCATATTTCTGAGAGCAGCGTAATAAAATAACACCTGTTGAAACCTGGACAATTCCCACCGCCCACCAAACTTAACAAATCGCCTTCTTATGCGCGGTACGGCCAGGTTGGAAGCACTGCTCTTATACGAGGTGCCCATTGCGGATGGGATCGGGTCGGGTCGGGTCGATCGCCCAACTCGTCGCCTGAAAACAAACGCGTTTTGTTTTTGAAGCGACAAGTCGGGCACGATCGGCTTGTGCCACGAAAGCCGTTTTATACGGGGTGCCCACTAAAAAACGGGTTTATTTTCAGTTTCAGACGACCGAGTCGGACGATCGGCCCAATCCTGCCGTAATGGGCACCCCGTTTTACGTCCTCAATCTGGCCGTTTTACCGCCCCGCCCCGACCCGATCCCCCAATGGTCACCCCGTGTTAGTAGAAACACAACGACAATAATACTATAACGGTTACAGATGTACTTGCTCACAGGATCTGGCCGTCTGAAAATGGAAAGGTTACACTTGCAAACTGTTTGTATTTTACCCTCATATCGACGCAATTTTGGATCATTACAAAATGTGCCGTTTTCTAGCCTAGATAGGATACTCTTGTATATTTTATATTGCTATCAATAAGACGAATTTAACTGTTTACTTTTGTTTTCATGGGTGAAAAGTTCAAATTATTCAGTTTTTGCCACCACAACAGCGAGGACACACGTTCGAATCCCAGTGTGGTCCGGACGTTGTGTTCTCGAAAATGACACGTTAAGAAAAGTTTTCACAGCTTATTCTGATTGAATGGGTACCAGGCTGAGGAAATGAAAAGGTACTAGGCTAAGAAAAAAAGGGACAGTTTGCACCGAGCTCTCCCCAGAAAAGGGGAGAGCGAGCGAGCGAGC